TTGATTTGCTTCAATATGACTGCCAAAAAAAAAAAAAAAAACAAATCCATTGCCCCAAGTTAATTCTGACTCACAGCAACACTGTGGCACAGAGAACTGCCACATAGGGTTTCCAAGGGTGGGCCCCTTGATGGTCCAAGGGTGATCTCTTTATGTGGTCCCCATGTGGCTAAAGGGTCCCATCCAAGTCCAGAACAAGGAAGAATAACTGCCATCATTCATGTTATTCAATTTATAGTTCTAATATATAGTCCTTCCTTTCTTCCTTCCTTCCTCCTTCCCTCCCTCCTTTCTTTCTTTCCTTCCTCTGTCCTCCCTGCCCTCCTTCTTTCTTTCCTTCCTGTTTCTTTCTTCCTTTTACCTATCCATCTTCCTACTTAGTAAACTTTCAGGGAATATCCACTCTGGCCCTAGCTCCCTGCTGGGTCACTGTGAGATAATCATTTCTTGGTTTAACAACACCAATATTTGTGCTTGTCCCTCTGCTGATAAACACTTCTCTCCTCCTTTGGTCCACCTCGACCACTCAGATGAATCCTTTAAAATCTGCTCTGAGGCTGGCACAGGACTGGGCAGTGTTTTGTTCTGTTGTACATAGGGTCTCTATGAGTCAGAGCCGACTCGACGGCACCTGACAATACAATGTGTCCCTGACTTAGAAGCCTTCCCTGGCCTCCCTGATGAATTGGACTTTCTCCCAAGGTAATGGAGCAAAGTGGTTTCAGAGCCATATAGGTTAGGGTTGAATACTGCCTCTCTGCCTTTTAGAGAAAGAGAAATGGGACTCCCCAAGACAGTTACACAAACTTGGGAAAATGCAAGCTAGTTATTAATTATTAAATGATGGTTACTAGACGGTGATAGTAGTGATACTGCCTTGGAAACCCAAGAAGGGGTTGCTATGAGTTGTCTCTGACTCAATGGCAGCGAGTTTGGGTTGTTTGTTTGTTTATTTATTTATCTATCTATTTATTTATTTATTTTGCTTTTGATGCTCACTACAATGTCCTTTACTGGTTTCCTTCCTAGGACACATACCAGCCTTAACCAGAGACCCACCCTTGGATGCTCTCCAGAAACCACAAGGAATTGTTATCCTCATGGTCAAGTTCTATCTGGTCAGCTCCTATTTCCCACTTCAATTCAATATCCAACTTGCCTGAGCACTTATGTGTGCTAGTCAACAGAGAGTGAAGGGAGGGGTGAGGCTAGACTATTCGGGGCTCCTTTCTTGGACTAATGAGCAAGGAACTCCAATCTCCTTTCAGATGACCCATATGAGGCCTGGCACAGCCTGGGGAGGAGGCTTGGGCAATCAAGGAGCTGAGGGCTACTGACACAGGCCATGGTAACAAGAGAAGCTGGAAAGATCTGAGTGTGCAACTAGTTCTTCCCCATTAGGGGAAGGGGAGCAATGAGGTTGTGAAAGGGGCCTTAAAGTTCAAATCAAAAAGAAAAAACCATTGCCATGGCCACAGAGTCCATTCCAACTCATAGCAACCCTAAAGGACAGAATAGAACTGCCCCATAGAGTTTCCAAGACTGTAAATCTTTATGGAAGCAGACTACCTCATCTTTCTCCCATGGAGTGGCTGGTGGGTTTGAACCAATGACCTTTTGATTAGCAGCCAAAGTCCTTCCTTTCTTCCTTTCTTCCTCCCTCCCTCCCTCCTTTCTTTCTTTCCTTCCTCTGTCCCTCCCTTAAACACTGCCACCAGAGCTCCTTCCTTAAAGGTCGGCCCATAGTTATTTGTGCTTGTTCCTCTGCTGATAAACACTTCTCTCCTCCTTTGCTCCACCTCGACCACTCAGATGAATCCTTTAAAATCTGCTCTGAGGCTGACACAGGACTGGGCAGTGTTTTGTTCTGTTGTACATAGGGTCTCTATGAGTCAGAGCCGACTCGACGGCACCTGACAACACAATGTGTCCCTGACTTAGAAGCCTTCCCTGGCCTCCCTGATGAATACTACTTTCTCCCAAGGCAATGGAGCAAAGTGGTTTCAGAGCCATATAGGCTAGGGTTGAGTCCTCCTCTGCCTTTTAATGCCTGTGTGACCTTGAGCAAGTTATCATCCCTCCATCAGTCTCAATTTCTTCTTCTGGGAGTTTTCTCATTGCCTCATGGAGCAGTTTAAAGACTGAAATAATTGTGTGTGTCAAGTGCAGAGTCTTATGTTGGCAAGTGCTCAATAAATAATACTACAGGGACCTTGTAGCCTTTTCTTGCCCTGTCTGTTCTCCAGGCTAAGGGTGACTGGGGTACTGAGGCTGAGTTGCCCAGCAAACACCCAGGAAATATCTGCTGTTGAATTGAAGAGACTTTGCCAGGGTCACCCAGCAGTGTTAGCAGATTTGATTCTCCCTGCTTACCTGTATATGAATTGCATATTTCAAGATTAGGGAGAAAACAAGGTTCAGAAATATGTGTTTTCTTGTTCCTAAAGAAACAATCCTCATCTGGACCATTGGCCCTCCCTGTCTGCATCCTAGAAGCACCACATTGCAGAAATCACTATCTGAAGTGCTTGTCCTTAGAAGCAAGGTGATGGACCCAGGGTCCTCTAATCTTCCTTTATTCTCTTATCTCCAAAAGAAGTACTCCTTTCCAACTGTCCTCTAAATTATGACCAACATATACCTTCTCCAACACAGGAGCCACAGGGAAGCCCTGTTCTCCAGGTTCATGGTCCCTGGAACTTTACCCTTCCCACTTCATTTCCTCACACTCTAGTCCCTGCCTTCACCTCCTGAGGGACTCCTCTTATGCTGCTGCCTGCAAGGTGCCGAGCATGGTTCCAGGAGCTTACATATACTATCTCATTCCATCTCTCAGCTACCCTGCAAGGTAGGGTCATTTCCCTACTTTATAGAGGAGGAGGTCAGCTTTTGGGGACATGCGATGATTTTTTTATGATTTTTCCAAGGTCACATAGTGTGGTAGCTTGGTTTGTGTGTCAACTTGCCTGGGCCTGGTTGAGTGGCTGGGCAGCTGGTGGTAGTTGTTCCCCATGATGAGACTGGCAATCAACTCCATGGTGGGATCTACCACAAGCAGCTGAGTAGCTGCCTTTGTAATGTGGTCTGCTTCCTGTATATAAGGAGAAGCTTTGAAAATGGTCTCTAGCCTATGGCATGCTTGCACCCTGCTTGTAGCTGTGTCATTGCTCAGCAGCCTGGCATGCTCTGCTGACCCTGGGACTTATAGTGGACTTAAGTTAATGGCCTGCCATGTGGTTTGGTAGCATTGAGACTGTGCCTTTTTACTTGTCAAACTTGGGGCTTCTCAGCCTCAACAGCCAGCAGCTGTCTGAGTGAAGAAACGCCTCTAGCTCCAGTGGGCTGGGAGCAGGAGGCAGAGCTGGACTCCAACGTTGAGGGGTTTTCACCCAGTCCCTAGAGCTTGGCACTGTGAACTTGGACTTAAAGCCTCCAAATTGTAAGAATAAACTCCTGTTTGTTAAGGCCATCCCATTTGTGGTATATTTCTTGTCAGAGCAGCACTAGGAAACCAGAACACACAGGGACCAAATGGTAAAGTTGAAATGTAAGCCTGGTGGCCTTCCACTATGCCCTGTGTCTCCTTTGTCCCACCATAATGCTTGGTTCACTCCTTGGATTGTCACTCAGGCTATTCACTTGCTTCCAAAGATACCCCAGTCCCCTTTGGCCATCCTTTCCCCCTAAACCAGTGTTCAAACTTGACAGCACATCAGAATTATCTGGAAAAAGCTTGTTAAGAAATAGCTTGTTAGGCCCCACTTCCAGTGAAGTGGGGGTTCCACAGTAGAATTCTCCCCTTCTATTCAGGAGACCCAGTTCATATCTCAGCCAGTGCATTTCACACACAACCATCACCCATCTGTCAATGGCAGCTCAGCAGAAAGGGGTCCCGAAAACTGTAGCCACATCCCTCCTTTCACTCTCTGTTGACTAGCACAACAAGAAAGAAGAAAGCCTTGATGATCTGCTTCTAAAAATCAGCCAATGAAAATCCAATAGATCACAATGGTCTGATCTGCAACTGGTCATGAAGATGGTGCAGGACCAAGCAGTGTTTCATTCCATTGTGTGTGTGGCCACCATGCATTGGGGGCCAACTCCACAGCAGCTAACAACAACATGCCCTACCCCAGAATTGCTGGTTCAGCAGGTGTGGGATGAAGATAAAGAGTGCTGGTGATGCAGTGGTTAAGGTGTTTGGCTGCTAACTAAAATGTCAGCAGTTTGAACTCACCACCTACTCCACAGGAGAAAGATGCTGAAGTCTGCTTCCATAAAGATTTACAACCTTGGCAACCCTATGGAGTAGTTCTACGCTGCCGCAGCAGTGTCAGCAGATTTGATT